GAGAGAGAGAGAGAGAGAGAGAGAGAGAGAGAGAGAGAGAGAGAGAGTTGGGCTCGCATCCATGATTATGGCACATTTCGAAGTGTCTATTTTTTTTTTAAATCCAATTCAATGCTACAAAATGACTAGCGCCATTGTTCTGGAGCAATTTCCTTGTTTCGGTGAACACGTGCACACAACAAGCAACAACAAGAATAACCACAACAATAAATAAAAAATAACGAATGTATCAATTGGTACGAAGCAGTACGAAAAAAAACAACGAATAAGTAAATAAAAAGGTGCAATCTATCAAAATGATGAATCAATTATCTCGGACCATTGAGATGTTTAGTGGTCATTGTTTACTCGTGTGCGCGTACTAGTGCGTTCAAAAATTTGTCAATATTTTTACTTTGCAACGGCCACAACAACATAATTAAATTGGAAATGGTGTACGCACCACAAAAGGGTAAACCGCACATTCTCAAAGGAGGTCAGTCTCATTGCTTTGACTTGTAGAATTGTTTTCTTGTTTTGTTTTCCGAAACACAATGGAATTGTGTGTGTGTGTGTGTGTGTGCGAGGTGAGGACGTTTGGTGGAAACCAACGGTACAAATTGAATTCTTCAATGCATTGTGGCCATTTAAATGGACTCTGGTGCGGCCGCGGTGTTTGGTCAAAGGTTCTCTGCACAACAGAAGCAATATTGTTCTCGAACGTCAATTTCGAGCATGCGTGTGTATGTCGTGGATGGAATGTTGCAAACGGGCGTGTCTTATGGGATTGCATTTAATTATACTCGATTTCTCGCCATTAAAACAGCAATCAGCCAGGCAGCCAGCAACCACACACTCACTCTATTGACGTGTACATATTGTGATAATGTCAATGATATGGGAATAAATTGTGCGTATGTGAACCGGAGCGTATATGGATCTCCCCATTAACGCGTTGTCGACAACAACGATGACGACGTCGACGATGGTGCACGGCCGAATTCGAGGCAAATTAGAATCTAAAATGAAAGCGCTCTCGGGGTTCACGTGCAATTGTAAGAATAGAAATAGGCACGAGCAAACAAATGAACGAACACGGCTAAACGTTGAGATCATAATTTGCACCGTGAATACGAAAAAAAAAACACGCACGCTCCACATCGCAACCTAGTCTCTGTTGAGGTCGGAAACATATGTTCGTATCATGCAAAAAAAAAGAGGTACGTGCACACTACCGTTTCAGTTATAGCTACCATTCGATGGCTTGTTCCATTGTATCTAAGAGTCTGAAAAGTCGGCGCACTTTGTTGCTGCCGTTTTCATTGTTTCGATTTTGTGTGCGCGAGCGAACGATCGTATTCAAATTGTGTGTGTGTGTGTGTGTTTGTGTTTACATTGAAATTCT